CAACAGCAGCAACAGCAACAACAACAGCAACAGCAACAGCCAGAGCCACAGCCACAGCCACAGCAAAGACGTTAACAAGAACAAGAGAAGCCTTCGTCGGGGCATCACAACTAATTGACTTTGTATGCGAGGCTTTGTGATGCGTAGTGTGGGAGGTGGATGCGTGCTGGGGTTGGGGGCGGAGTCGCGGGCGGGGGGCGGGGGCGGGGGCGGGGGCGTTAACAAACGTGACTTCTTTGCTCTGCTGAGTGGGGGCTGCCAGGGGACATGGGCCGTTGTCGCCTCAACAAAATGAGTGATTGTTGGCAGCGCGTGAGCAAAATATTCATACGATTTCGCAACAGCACCCCAAAAAGCAGACGAGAGTGGAAAGAACAGAAGAAGGGGCGCGGAAGGGGCAGCGCAGAGACGGGGCATTAGAACTAGCTGTACAAGACTCATAATTCATTCATTTTCGCACTTGTTTTCAAAGGTCCCCTCCATCGAGAGTCGAGTCTCTGCCCTATGATTTGCAACTTTTACTTTTCTACAACCGGAAATAGCTTTCCGAACAGCCCAACCATATCACTCTCGATCTTTGCTTATGACTGTATATTATACCTGGTACTGAATACGTTTTCAGCCATCTCATATTGAATTATTAAGATTATCATATTATACATTTTTTCTAGGCATTGCCAAATTTAGCTCTTGGTGTTCTTAGCATTGTGCAAAATTCTTTTAGTCACATGCTCGAAACTTAATGACGAAAGCTTACTAATATTAGCCCATTTTCATGCCCTGTACTGATTGGAAAGTGGAGAGTGGGTATGATAGATACAGTATTATTATTGAGATTCTCACTATTGCTTTCTTTGTCCGTCCCTTCATCTGTCCGCCAGCTTCTCCGTACCGTAGCTCCTCTATATCTCACCCTTGTCCATCAAATTGTGTCTCTGCCCGTCTGTCTAGCCATCTATCTGTCTGTTCTATATAATATAAAAGAACTCTACTACTAAGACAGACTTTATATACCCTAGACTATCAATATGGTTTAGCTGTTCCATTTGAATCTCATTCGAATGAATTTCCTTGAGATATGTATTTCATTCTCAGGGTATTCCCTAGTCAGTCACTAATTACTATTATTTTAATTTACCACTTTTTTAAGGTTTTCGTGACGTTTGTTGCGAACTTTTTTGCAATTTGTTTTTTGTTTTGCATTTTGCGAGCGCTCAAATTGATGGATGGTTTGCTTTTTCTGTTTTTGTTTTCGTTTTTGCAGCCGTAGTTGGACAGCATTGTGAATAAAAATACATTCATTGAATTTCACATTCACAATTTGAGGTTGAGTCACTTTTTGGGCTGTTGGCCAGGAAGCGAATTAGTCAATAATGCAATTGAAGGCCTCTCTGTACTAGACTAGACCAACGATCCATATGAATGAAATGCTTGAAATATGCCATATGACATCATTATATTATTGTATCCACGAAAACACATTTATTATAATTGTTATTCATAGATCGTTGCGTATTTGTGTGTCGAACTGATTCAGCGGAAGGAATTCAAGCTGTGTGTGCTCTCAAATGGAACTCGGCTCGAGGTAGCTCAAGAAATACCCATAGTATATAAATATTGTTTAATATAAAAATTGAACAATTATAGGAGGACCTAGCTCGTTATATATGATATATCTACTTGATTTTTTTCTGAAAATATCTATTATATAGCCTACTACTTCTAGTTAACTACTAATCTTGAATGTCTGTCTCCACCCATTTGCCTCTCTTCGGTATTTTTCCTTCATGTAGGAAAACAATCGACAGCATAATTATTTTGTGATTCAAACTGTTTTGCATGAGTTACGACTGAGGCAATTGTTGTTATTATATTGTGATCGGGTCGACTCGACTCGAGTGACTTATTAAATTGGAATGCGGAAGCCTCTAATGCCACTGTCATTGTTTGGGCAATATTATTGCTGGCGTGCGCTCGGTGTGCAACATTCCAGGTAAAGAAAAGCCAAATCACAAATGGCAGCAACGGCAACGGCAACGTCAATAGCAACAACAACAACAACAACAACAGCTTAAGCACAACTTGAGCAACACGCCAAAGTGCAATCAATCCCCCCGCTCAGCCGCCCTTTAGCTCTTGCTCCACGTTTATTGTTGAGTGTTGCTTGTTGCTTGGTTGGCTGGCTGCCTGTTGGATTGTTGGATTGTTGGATTGTTGGCTTGTTGCAGCCAGCGACATTTATTGCCGCAAATGAGTTATAACGAAGCGCAGCTAATTGGCTGGGCCTACCAGAAATGAGCAGAGTTTTCCTTTTAAGCAGCAACAGTCGCAATCACAACTACCAGCAACAATAACACGCGACAGCAGCAGCAGCAGCAGCAACGGCAGCAACAACAAAAGGACAGGTGCAACACGCGGCGGCGCTTGAGTCTCGACTCGACCATGGCACAGCTTTGACTTTATCCTTGTGGCCCTTTGGTCCTCAGCTCTTCTTAATATAATTGCCAAATGCGTTTACGTTTGCTGCTGCTCTTGCTGTTGTTGTTGCTGTTGCTGCTGTTGCCTGTCAGCGTCTGGCAGCAGCTGCAACAACAGCAACAACAACAGAACAAAAGCAGCAGCTGCACGACGTCAAGGTAGTGACTGCCACACCTGCCACGTGTTGCATTTACAGGCAACAGCTGGACACGTACTGAAGGGCTCCTCTCTCTCTCTCTCCCTCTCTCTCCCTTTCTTCTCGCCTCGCCTCGCCTCTCTCGCTCATCGGCCCTGGGGTTCATTGCATCCCTTTTAGGCAGCAGGCAACTGTCAAATTACATGGCTGCGACCTGGCCAATATTTACTTCCACTTACTTCCACTTTATTTGCGCTGACAAGCCCCAGCACGAATCAAACACTGATGACTGACTACAGTGATACTCTGTATCTAGGCTAGAATGTTATCCTGTATATGTGTGTGAAGAGAATGTGTCAAGACTAGGACCAACTATAATGATACCCTGTATCTGTCCAACATTCATACCCATATACATTATATACATTCATATATTCGATCAATCAAAGCCCCCAATACTCTCTGCACTTACAGGGTGCAAGCTAACCATTTGCCTGTTTGGAGTTTATCTCGTTTCGATTTGTCTTCAATTCCCAACTCGACAAACAACCAAATTTCGCGCACCTGCCGCAACTTTTCGCTCTTCATCTTCATGTTCTTCTTTTTGTTGTTATTGTCCTTGCTGCGCCTGTGGTGGTCGCTAAAAGGCGCACATCTGTCTACCTGAGCACAGTGCTATGCAGCTGCAATTATGTAAGGAGCGGGCATGAACCTCAGAATCGGCGAACGATTCGCCTTGAGCTGCTAATGAATAGACTCGAAGATTTCAGCAAGGGTCTTACTAGACCTTCTGTCGGAAGACCAGGACAGACTCCTGAAGTGTGTGCAGGGTATTTGAAGTTGTACAAACAATATATCTAGGAATCTCTATAAAGTTTCCCCCTTATTCCCCAGACTTTGTGCGATCACATCAGACCTCACAGACCTCGTCAATAGAGAATATATAATATTTATAAGAGAGGAGACACACCCATGACAAATTCTATAATAATTCAAACACCAATGACTAATGGATCTAAATAATTGGCTATAAATAGAACAATGCCAGTTCGAAAATATTCATATATCATTTCACATTTAGGAAATCGACGAAAATAGCTAATCGCTATAATTATAGCTTAATGTTCGGTTTATGGTGCATATAAAAGCGCGATCTATAAATAGGCGATATTTTGGCTCTAGAGATCTTTACGACCATGCCCAGATGTTGAGAATTTGGTCTGATGTGTGGTCAAAGTTCGCAGCTCGCTCATTTGATTAATTGGCCTGATAAGAGCAATAATACGGTTTATTGAACCCATAACAAATTGGCAATATTTTCATATCTATCTATAGCCCATTGATCGCATGTGTATATATTTATCATTGTCAATATATGTATATCGGGCTTGGTAATTATTTACGGGAGCGCAATGCTCGAGGGCCAAATGCATCCAACTTGTTTTTGAGACTCTCAAATTGTTTACAAACAGAATCGTTTATATATGTACACACACACACACACACACACACACACATACATATTTATATACCTAAATACTTTTTGCGCTGCTTTTAATTTGGTTTCTCTTACAAATTTTATTTTTGGTCGCGCATTACAGCTGAGGGGATCCTCAGTGCAGCAAGGGGGGGAGCTTGGGGCTTCCGATGACAGCAGCAGCAGCAGCAGCAGCAAGTTGAGGTGTTTGTTGTGGCATTTTCTGCCTCTGGTTATTCTCTCCTTCCCTCCCCGTCTGTTTCTATCTCTGTCTCCTGTTTTTTACCACTCATTGTGACTCATTGAGGTCGTGTGCGAATTTTTGGAATTGCTTTTATTTATGCATTTGTTATTGTATTTGCGTTGAATGTAAATTTACTTATTTATTGCGCGTTGCGCGACAAAAACAAATAAACTCATCGTATCGCAATTCGCAGAAGCAACAACCACACTTGAACGATGAACTTGCCCGATGAGCACATACCATGTAATTGGCAACGACGTCTACCGATCCTTATCTAATGCTAGCCACCCCATCGATATCGAACCATATCAATAATGATCGAGTGACTTAAGTCAGCTGAGTCGTAGTACGATTTTCATTTCACTTATAAAGAAACGATTTGACGCCCACAATAATACACTCACATATATGGCTGATGAATATCAACTAGCTGAATTTTGCATATACTTACTCACTGCTAATATGCCCCTGTCGCATATGTTCGCAATGGCTGACAGGGTATATGAGAAATATCATATCGAATAAAAAATTCCCCAAAAACAAAGTAAAAACTGCAAAGCATCACAACAGGCGGTAACAGTCGAGAGTGCTCAACTAGCAAATACCCTGAACTCTCCACAAATTTGGTATTTCATTTTGTTACACATAATAACACAAATAAGCTCTGAGGTCGACATACGGACATAAAATCATATCCGTTTATTCATTTCATTTATGATTTTGAAAGTGTTATTGAATTTGAAAGAGTACATATTTTTACAGATATTTAGAGATCATAAAATGGATATTGTATGGCTGAGATGTAAATACAATAACATCATCATCAATATCAGAGGAAATTTGGAATCTTTAATGAAATAAAATAATAAAATAATAAAAACCTACGGACTCATCGGAAATAACTCGGCTTAGTTTGAGTACGACGAAAAGTCTAGAATGCCCGGCTTGCAAATGGTGGCCACACAAATGCTGATGGCCAAAACAACGTGCTTCTCAATGCAAAACGAGCCAAGTGGCATTATTCCATTATTCCTAATCTGTTCTTCTATCCAATCGGCAAATGTCCGGACATCTACATATAAGACGCTACCTTTGAAGTTTGTGGCGAAGATAACACCCGCAAGTTTATCGTTGCATCGCAACGGACCACCTGTATCACCAAGACCGGCTCCAGTCGAACCCCCTGAGTCGGAGCATAATATGTTATACAGACGAATTACCTTAAAACATGCCTTTTTGTCTAGAAGCCTTTGCCACGTTGCCTGCAGACTGTTTGAAGTATTGAATTCATCCTATGATGGGAAAAAGCAATCGATTAGTCTAGTTATCGATACACGAGTGCAACAATGTCCAAGTTCGAATAAAGTGAATAATAAAATAGATTTGTTTACGTGCTCAACTCGACCCCATCCAGACAATAGACATTTAGTACCAGGGCTTATTTCCACCGTGTTAAGGGGCAGAAATGCGATCGCCCCATTAACGGGTTCTATATTTTCAATTGTGACTATCACTCCAATATCGTAGGTTGTACTTTTTGCCTTACATACTTTACAGGATAGGTCCAATATGAGACTTTCAGCTTCTTCGTTGTCGGCCAACTGTGGAAAAGATACTTGGATCCCACTACAACCGATACATCAGTTTGGTTCTTTCTGCAGCAAATTAAGTTAATAAACAGGCATATTCATTTAGGCGTACCCACCTAAATATGCAATGAGCTGCTGTAATAATTACACGATCTTTAATAATAGTCCCACCACAAAAATGTCCACTGCCCAGTGCATCAGCCTCTTCGTGTACATAACGCAATGATGCCATATATGGAGCATCCGAGGTATTGACTTCGAAACCTCCCACAATTTTAAATTGATTAGCTTCAGCTTTAAGGAATAAACATTGGTTATACTCAATGATCTAAGATCAATCGAAATACTTGTTTTATTTTATGATTTCGTGATGTGATTGACAGACTTTGAGTTGATTCCTGCGAAGACAAATTTCTTTTCGGACGGGACTCAGGGTATCAATTAGTCAGGCAATCCTAACACATCTACTATTGCAATCGATATGGCTTACCCCTATTCATCAATGAAAATAGACATAGTAACGTGATAAAAGTTATAAAAAAAAAGCGGCGAGCCCATAATTTTGGTTCTGTTAAAATTCTAAAACACAAATTTTGATAAGTTAAACAAATTTATAAAGCACAGACAGAAATCTCATGGATAATAAATATAATTGGGCTAGCAATTGAACATCGTACACACAATCGATAAATATCGATCGCTTCATATACAGCCTATGTAGCGCTTACATTAGAAGCGGAGGACATATGGTGCGACTTAACCAATTACAGTTCCCAGCTGTTTACAGAGTATCACATAGTGCCCCTTCCCAGCTAAGGCCCACTCACTTGTTGTTTCTGCAGCGATCGCGTTAATTACGTGTGTAAAAACTATTGGGCAAACAATTTGATTAGTGTCCGCGTGTGAATTAGCCGAGTCCGAGTCGAAATGCGGCACGCGCTTTGCTTCCACCATTCGACGAAATCAGTCAACTCATCAGATTTCGAGTTACGATTTCATTTTCGTAGTTTTCCACGAATTTCGAACAGCTCTCGGCCGCGTTAATGACACGTTAAGTCGTAAACAACAAACAGCAATATCCGTTTGTGTATGACTTTGCTAACTGATTTTTGCGACTTGATTTGTTTTTATTTTCGCCAGTGCTCATGGGAACTCCAGATACTGTCACGCCCATTAGCCGCTATCACCCCCTCATCAGTGGGAAGTACAAGCTTCGAATTGTTGTTGATGCCTTCATCTATTTTTAACGAGCTGAGTCAATTGCGATAAACGCAAACGCAATGCCACAAATAGAGTTAACCTTTTGCCAACATTTCCAATTGACATCCAAGATACTAAGAAACTAAAATACTAAGATACTAGATACTGAGATACCACAATACTGAGATACTATAATATTGAGATACTCCGATACTGAACTGCGTGATTCACAATTCACTTAATATACTTTACCTCATCCTATTACACCCACCAAGTAAACTACATTTATTGCAAACTATTATAATTACATATATGTGTATATATCTTGCCCAATTCAGGCGCGATAACTGGGCGTTTGACTTTCAGCATTCCCATATTCCAGCTGACTCATAAATGAGCTCATGTTCGATGTGGACGCAATTCTTGGAAGCAAAGTCTCGGCTCAAAGTCAATAACCCTTAGAGCTTGAATCCCGCTCGCAAGAGATATATATGTTTGTGTGTATACATTTACGTGAATATTACGCATACACAACGTGCGCCCTGGTACATCTGCAGATCGCGCAATATATCTAACAATATGACACCTAGAAAGAAGAACTAGCGATATTTCAATTTCTGGCACGTTCCACAGATCGGCTAAAGAATGCGGCAGGGATTCGAAGAGGAAAACTGAAAGCGAGAGAGAGAGAGAGAGAGAGAGAGAGAGAGAGATAGTTAGTAGTTTTGAGCCCAGCTCGTGTAAGATTATTGGCCCCAGACAAACGGCCAAGAGAAACAGCGGAGAACAAAACAGAAACAAAAAACCGAACCGAAACTGCGCAGTGCAAAGCCTGGCAAATATTTCATCATTAGCTTTTTGGCGCTTTTCATTACAAAAACACGAAAACCGAAAACACAACAACAAAAAATCCAAAATACAATTTAAATAAATTTCGCAAAATCAGCAACAAAAAAAGACACGAATTGACGTATTGGTTGAGCAGGGGGTGTGCGGTATTCAGAGAGCGGGACTGAGAGAGGGCGGACGAGGCGAGCTCAGAACTTGGCAAAGTTCAATAAAACCTGAAGCGTCGTCGCTGCCGTAGTTCACTCCACGACTTCTTCAACCAACACACGCTCTATCTACCTCTCTCTGTCTCTCTTGCTATATGTTTTGATACTTCAGTTTAAGTCGCAATAGCCCAGTTAAAATGGAAACAGGCCACATAGACCGGGAACTAGCCAAAATAGATAATCTTGAAGAACAACAACTACATATTGAGCGAACAATGCCATAGCCCGAAAAAGGCAAACGTATAACAAACGGGGTATATTCGTAGTGAATCGATATTAATATTATACATATACATATACAGATACAGATACAGATACAGATACAGATACAGATACAGATACAGATACAGATACAGATACAGATACAGATACAGATACAGATACAGATACAGATACAGATACAGATACAGATACAGATACAGATACAGATACAGATACAGATACAGATACAGATACAGATACAGATACAGATACAGATACAGATACAGATACAGATACAGATACAGATACAGATACAGATACAGATACAGATACAGATACAGATACAGATACAGATACAGATACAGATACAGATACAGATACAGATACAGATACAGATACAGATACAGATACAGATACAGATACAGATACAGATACAGATACAGATACAGATACAGATACAGATACAGATACAGATACAGATACAGATACAGATACAGATACAGATACAGATACAGATACAGATACAGATACAGATACAGATACAGATACAGATACAGATACAGATACAGATACAGATACAGATACAGATACAGATACAGATACAGATACAGATACAGATACAGATACAGATACAGATACAGATACAGATACAGATACAGATACAGATACAGATACAGATACAGATATAGATTCAGATACAGATACAGATACAGATACAGATACAGATACAGATACAGATACAGATACAGATACAGATACAGATACAGATACAGATACAGATACAGATACAGATACAGATACAGATACAGATACAGATACAGATACAGATACAGATACAGATACAGATACAGATACAGATACAGATACAGATACAGATACAGATACAGATACAGATACAGATACAGATACAGATACAAATACAGATACAGATACAGATACAGATACAGATACAGATACAGATACAGATACAGATACAGATACAGATACAGATACAGATACAGATACAGATACAGATACAGATACAGATACAGATACAGATATAGGGGTAGAGTATTATATAGAGAACCATTCCAGAATTTTATTGGCGCTACTTTAGGTTAGGGAGGCGGGTGAGACATTGGACTTGTCGAACAGGTTCTTCTTTAGGTTCTACTATGGAAGCGAGACAGCAAAACGCTACAGCACAGTGAGAGAGGTAGGGGGATAGCTGGAGTGTTGATCAGGGTTGTTGGGGGGCCTGGAGCGTGGGCTAGAAACTTTTGCTGAAGACAACGACGACAACAACGAAGACAACAACAACGATATTAAATACACTTTTTGTTTCACTTTGCCTTTTTGGTGGTGGTTGTTGTTGCTGCTTGGATAGGTTGGTGTTGTTGTAATTTGCTTTGTTGTTGCTTCATTTTTATGGGCAGTTATTGTTGTTGTTGCTGTGACTTCAGTTCGTTGTTTATAGTTGTTGTTGTTGTTGTTGTTGTTGTTGTTGTTGTTGATGTCATTAACCCGGCACTTGGCGCTGGGAACGCGCACTTTTTGTTATTGTTGTTGTTGCTGCTGTTGTTGCTGTTTTGGTTCTCGAGCCAAAAACACCGCCAACCAAAAATTTTCGCTTTTTTTCGCACGTATTTCCCCATATTCTGTTTTTATTTGCGCCCGTTTTGTTTTGGCTTCACATTCGGGCCTCCTCCAGCTGTTGTTGTTATTCTCTTTTGGAACTGGGCACTGGAGGAGGCGGAGTGGCGACGGCAGCTGGGGCGGCGTTAGCACGCAGTTACACAGCACATTCCCCAATTCATGCGCCGCGGTTCATGTGCGGTCAAAAAGCGAGCGCCGATCGTCGACAGAGCTGCCGTGCTGCCGTGCTGCCGTACCGCCGCGAAGGTGGCAAATTCCATAAGCGTTCGCTTACCCCATTAAAAGGGGCCAGGTCTTCTCCACCTCCTCGGCCAGCCATTCGGGCCCCACTGGCAACACCACCCGCTGCTGCCGCTGCCACTGCCGCTGCTGCTGCTGCTGGCTCTGCTCTCATTCTGCGAACTGAGTCGCTTTTCGGCGCCCAAGTCAATAAACTCAACTCAACAGCAACAACAATAATAATAAGAGTGAGTAGCTAGCGAAAGGAAAAAAATCAAAACACGAGCCGGCAACAACAACAGAAACAACAGCAACAACAGCAGCAACAACTACAGCAACAGCAACAATAAATAAAGCTACAACAATGCGAGCGCTTGGCGATGAGTCGCCAAGCAAAATTTGGCGCCAAAAATAGTGAGGCAATGAACTTTGGCGTTGCTCGATCTACCCTGTGATTGGTTGGGCACATGGAGCTGGAGCTGGAGCTGTTTGTGAGGTAACAAAAGGAAGCGGAAATGCCCAAAAATGTATGCACACTTACCACGTGTGAGAATAACAAGGGAAATAGCTATTAGCACTGGCGTGGCAGGCAGAAAGAGATGAGGTGGGGGAGGGGTAGGATGTTGAACCAGGAGATACTGAGATAGTGAGAAAGAAAAAGAGAGAGATAGAAAAAGAAAGCAGAGTGAGGCATTGATAGTGTCCGAGAGGAACATAAGGTTAGACAAAGCGTGATTTGGGAAGGTAGAGAGAGATGCATGACAGACAGAGAGAGAGAGATAAACTGAGGGAAAGTGAGAGAGAGGAAAACGAGATAGCAAAGAGTAGAGGAGGAGAATACAGAAATACAAAGAAGGAAAGGAGAAGCCAAGATAGTGGAACGAGACATTCCATGCAAAAAAAGGTCAGCAATCACAAGGCAACTCGACTCAGGTAAAGTTCTCTCTCTCTCTCTATCTCTCTGTCTCTTTCTCTCTCCCCAGCATTTGATCTCATTGTCATTGCATTTGACAGCAACTGCACCACCCGCCTGCCAGCTATGGGCTTTCCCTTTCCCACGCCTGTGCTTCGCGCACCAACCCAGAAATTACGTATACGTAATGTATGCGTTTGCTTATCTTTTGAGCTCTTTAGCTGCCATTGGCATTATCGGGCGACATTGCATAATGAGCGCGTAATGGAGGGTGAGGAGTCGAGGGGAGGGGAGCATGCGTGAAATGGAGCTTATTTTGTTTGACCTCTCCCACCTTCAATAATAGGACGGGCGACACGACTCGTGATAACAGACGCTTTCTCATGACAGGTGAGCGCGTGATT